TTGTGTATTCTGAAGTTGCCTTCTTCCTTGTATAGTTTTTACTTTTCTTTGACATAATGACAGCTCCTTTTTCTCCTCCCCCCAAATTAAAATTAATCATAATCTTTCAAAGAGTTCTCTATTACCTTTCATTTTTGACTGACATCCTACTTGCTGCAGTCCTCAAGAAATCAATGAATATATTAACTGAAATTAGACTTGGCACCTGTCTCCAAGGAACTCAGCTCAATAGTTCTTGGTAGACTTAGATGGAATTTTTAATAACTTCAAAGGAGGTATTTTTAAAAAAATTGTGCATTTTTGACATTAAGCCACTATGATTTATTAAAATGCATGTATATGTGGCTTTTATATGCATATGAAAAGTTAAGTATTTAATTAAATTGTTCATAGTTTTATTCCAAGTCATTATAACTCCTTTTCCCAATAGCCTTAAACACAAAGGTATTTCACCATCACTAACTCATCTTTTCTTATGGAATTGGGTATTCTAAAGTCATTCTTTTAAATCCATGCTTTTTGAGTTCCCAAATAAAGACAAAGGGTATAAAAAAACAAATATGACCAGAGTTAGGAGCATTAAAACACAAAAAATCTAACAAGTCAATGACTGTTATGAAAAGAAACTAAATAGGTAGTTTACATAGTATTTTATAAACACAAAGAATGGTGTATTTCTTCTCAGTCATAAGATTCAACTTGAGGGGCAAAGGAACTGGAAAAACATGGTGTTGAAAAAGGGAAACTATAAATATTCAGGAAATTTATTTTGTTTTCTGTTCATAAATTTCTTAACATTTTTTCTTTAGAATTCCAAATAAGTCATGTACAGAAACCTCATCTCAGACTAAAAGTAATAGCAATCAGATGATGAACAGAAAAGAGCGTAGTCTGAAAGGCTGAGTTGGAATCCTGATTGTACCATTTACTACCTCTGTAACTTTTATCTTTTTGAGTTTCAGTTTCTGTATCTGTAACTCAGGTATAATTCCACCAAATCCAATAGGGTTGGTGATGATTAAAATAAAGAAGGCATGTCATATCTACACATTGTCTGGCTCATAGTAGGCATTCAATAGATATTGTTCATGGACTTTTTCCCTTCCCTGACCTGTGTAGAAATTAAATTTGACAGATAAATCGTGTTCTCTTCACTCTCAAAGCTACTGTGGTGAGAAGAAGATAGAAATAACTAAATGGAGCTATAAATCTCCTTGATCTAAAATTTTAAAGTAGATTAGTAAGCAGTGAAATAAAACTGGTAAGAGATAAATAGAATGATGGAACTTATAAAATCCATGTGAAAGTTAAGATAGTGTTAATCACTTCTATTTTCCTCTTGGCTGTGATAATACTATATTTCATATTCAGTGAGGGGAGAAATTACCTAAACTTCAAAAAGTAAAATTAAAAGTGTTTCATAAAAACAAAATTGCTTCCATTTTTCCAGATGTTTTATCAGAAAACTCTTTCAAAATGAAAGTAAGGCTTTTCGGTCATTCATCTAGGATGATCTGTTTACATGTCTGCTGCTGCTGCTGCTGCTGCTAAGTTGCTTCAGTCGTGTCCGACTCTGTGCGACCCCATGGACTGCAGCCCACCAGGCTCCTCTGTCCATGGGATTTTCCAGGCAAGAGTACTGGAGTCGGCTGTCATTGCCTTCTCCAGTTTACGTGTCTACTATGTGCTGATTGATACACGAAGGGTAGAGGGTATATAAAAGAAGGTGGAAGGATAACTATTAAAGGCATGGTACATGCCAAGTGTTCAGGCACACATCACTGTGTTAGTTCAGTGAGGCTGCCAAAATAAAATACTACCAGCTGGGTGACAAACAGCAGAAATGAATTTTTTCACAGTTCTGGAGGCTGGAAGTCCAAGATCAAGGTATAGGCTAAGTTGCTTCCTCTGAAGCCTCTCTCCTTGGTTTGCAGTTGACTGTCCTCCTGCTGTCTCTTCACACGGTTGTCCCTCTATGTAAGTACATGCCTGGTGTGTCTGTGTCTCTTTCCAAATTTCCATTCCTTATATGGTTACCAGTAAGATAGGATTAAGGCTTACCTTAATAGCCTCATTTTAACTTAATCATAGCTATCTTCAAATTGGGTTTGGGGATTCAATACAGAAACTCTGGTGTAGGGGTGGGGAGGGACAGACACAATTCAGCCGATAACAAACACCATTTCACTTAACTACCACTATGTTGGGCTTCCCTGGTGGCTCAGAGGTTAAAGTGTCTGCCTGCAACACAGGAGACCTGGGTTTGATCCCTGGGTCGGGAAGATCCCCTGGAGAAGGAACTGGCAACCTACTCCAGTATTCTTGCCTGGAGAATCCCATGGATGGAGAAGCCTGGTGGGCTACAGTCCACAGGATCGCAAAGAGTCAAACACGACTGAGCGACTTCACTTCACTTCTTCATGTTGTACAAAGGAGAATCTAGGCTTTGAGAGAATAAATAACTCATCACAGACAGCCAGTAAGTGGTAGAAAGAAAATTTTAACCAAGGTCTCACTATGAGTACACCAGAGCCTTTGCTCTTTCTGTTATTCATAACTCCTCAAAGAATTATACATCTAGTTAGGAAGACACAGTACTGATCCATGAAAATTTAAATATGGGGGTTATTCGTAAGGAGACTTATTCACTGATCTTGTGCCATTAAATGGGAAGAATGGACTTAAGATTAGTAAACATTTTTATGTAGAAAATAGGATTTTTATTATGTGGTAGGCTGGGTTCTTTCACAAAAGTCTGTTGGTTCCCTCACCATGAGGGATTGTGGATTGTCAAACAGAAACAGTTTTGGTATGTCTTGGCCCAAAGACTACAGATAATCCAAGTCAATGTCAAATAGAAGACAGCTTTCTAGAGTAAATATCTTAGATATAACTGTCTTTTAGATCTCTTTTCTTCAGCATTTGGGTGTAGTCTATGTGCAGGTACACATGTATGAAATCCCTAATCTGCTTTATAACATTCTACTTCATTGGCAATCTACATGGTATGTTAGTGGGCTTTAAGCTCTCTAGCATCTCAGGATAAAAGACAAAGGTCCATGCTCTGTCTCTTGAGATTCTGTCATGTGTCCATGAATGAGTGTCAGGCTAGACTGTGGTAAAGTTGGCATCTGCTCCATATTCTGATGACCCCATGCTGTTGTTTAAAGTTTGTTAAAACTGCCATTCTGACTTGTGTTTTTTCTTCTAACTACATTTTATGGATGTATACTCCATGCTAAGTTGTAATTATATAATTAATAAGTTAAATAATTTCACATTCCCAAATTATGTTATAATGTTTCCAAAGACCATTCCAGGTATGCATACAAGGGGCCAAGGCATACGTCTAGAATCCTAGTACATAGGAACTCTTTACACAAAAACAATTGGATTCCTGAAAGCAGGATGTAAAACTCTCATGTGAAAGATGTCCTCCTTATACCGGGAGGAAAGAAACAAAGAAAGGCAACTGCGGACAAGTAACTAAAACACATGGGGGACTAAAGGAAGATAAGAATTAGTTTAACAAAATCTGTTTGCACAGATAACGTTTGACTTTGACTCCCTTTTTCTGGTGATAAGAATGTGAATTTCACAAAGCTAAGTTGCTTCTCTTTGCTCAACTTAGTATATAAACACTTAGTCTGAGCCACTTCTTTGGGTCTTCATTTTTTTAGGGGGATTCCCATGTATGTGTAAAAATCTGTATACTTTCCCCTTGTTAATCTGTCTTACATTAATTTAAAACTCAGGCTCAGGTGGAGACCCCAGGAGGATAGAGGTAAAGTTTTGTGCCCCCTGAACTATATATAAAATAAATAAATACTTACCAAGTATTACAGGGGCTACAAGAGACTCTTGAAGGAGGCTGAATTGTGGAGAACCATCACTTTGTTATTTTAAGGTACATTCCTTAAATATTAATTATACTATCTCAAAAAAAAAAAAAAAAAAACCAGTGTGAAAGCACATTCTAAAGTTAGATCTGATTTTTAGTATGACCTATTCTTCTGCATCTCTTCTAGAGAATGAATATTAAACACTGTTCTGATCAATAATGGGAATTCAGTTAGGATTTTTCAAACTGTCTCAACTGAGGTAAGTGGGAGGAAGAGGTGGGAGTAGTATATTAGAATCTCGGGGGAAAGATGGGAGAGCAGATAGAGAAGTAATATTCAGAGTTTAAAAACAAAGCAGCACTTTTCTCCAATACTTTTATGTGTTTTCAGTCACAGTATTTAATGTTTTAAAATTTCAAATAACATTAAAAGCAGGGCATATGTTAACCAAAAAAAGGGGGGTGGAGAAACACCAGTATGAGGGAATTTTTTAAAATCTGAAGAAATCAGAGACTTCATTTTTTGTCCTCAAACAAAAATGCATACAAAAGGCATTTAATGCATGTTTTGAACTGAATAGACTCAGTAGCCAAGTAATCCCAAAAGTACTTAATTCAACAAATACAGGCACAGGAAAAGGTAATAATACTCTTAGGGAGTTGTGTCCAGGAATTGAACACCATGACGGTCTAAACTTAAAGTGGAAAAGTAAATCCCCAAGCCCAGTATGACTTTTGTAACTCTGAGTACATATATCTTTATTTCTGACCTTTTGTGTTTCCATCTGTTATTACCTTTGTAAACTTTCATAGAAAGAGCTCCTTATTATCCTCCCTGCCTTCATCCTCTGGTTCCCTTTTACACAATAAGCATACATGCTCAGGTTGAGAACAGCTCTGACTCCTAAATTTCTTTTTCCTCAAGCTGAGTATTCAGAGACAACTAAGATTTTCAATTTAGACTTCTTAGGCTTTCAGTCCTAGAATCATATTATTTCCTACTTGCTGTCAGGCTGCAGATCACGGATAAGATTCAAACCAATCAGTTCTCATGACTGGAGCTAGATAAAAAGAATAACTATAGTGCAGGCCCCTCCCAGCCCTGAGTCTCTTTGTGGGTACATGGTGGACAGTGTCCTGAAGTCCAAGAAATACCTACCTCCAGCTTCAGAACATCATGCTGCAGTTTACGCTGAAATTCAAGGAAGTTTTTGATTGTCAGCTTCCCCTTGAGATCAGCTCCAAAAAAGTAGGTTGTGAGGGCTGAACACAAGCCAGACTTGAGGGTGTTACCAGTTGTTGGACGATCTCTGTGACGCATTCCCATGCTGGTTTGGGAGCGAATAATGCTCTGAACCTAATGGAGAAGCAAACCCCAGTCCAGAAAAATATTACAAGGTAGAAAATGTAGAAAAGTAAGAGTAATAACAATCAACTGGTTACTATTTGTCTACACTGTGCTACAATTCTCTCTTTTATTATTATTTTTTTAAGTGGAGTGCAGTTTATTACACCGGCGGGCCCAAGGCAAAGTCTACTATTAGCCAAGGACCCCGACCAGTTTTTGTGAAAATCTTATATAAACTAAGTGTACTTGCTCAAACCCACCTCCTCAAATTCCTTGAAACTAGTCTGGACAAGGTAAAAGAGAGATAAGATCAAAGTTAACCCATAATTCATGTGTCACAAGACTAGATAAACAGTGGATATTTATCAATAGGCCTGTGGTCAAATCCCGATAAACATACTGGAATGTACCACTTTGTTCTGTTACAGAGATAATTAGCATATTCTTTTAGGCAACAGAGAGTCCAAGTCCTGAGGCTCTTTTATCCGGGGGAGGGGGGGTCTGGTTTTCCATTGGTATGCCATTTCTATAGACTCTGGGCACAAAGTTCAGAGTCCATTGGGAGGGTGACCATGACTGTAGCCTAATGTTCGCAGCCTGGCCTAAGACAGAGTCCAGCTCTCTCTGTTTCCTTCTTCATTCCCCCCTCTTGATGCTCTTAACTCATATTATGAGCATCATTCATAGGGATATATTGCACCCTGACTCTCCGACCACCAATTTGGGAGAATGACATCAACCTTCAGGTTACAGAGTTCATAATACATTGTAAAATTCAGGGTCCACAAAACAGAAATATCAAGGCAACTATAACAATGGTAAATATAGTTTTTCACCAATCCCCCTTCACCCAAGATAGGACTGAAGTCCAGAAAGGAATGTTTTCTTTTGACATTGCTTTTACCTGGTTTTTCATGTCATCTAAAGCAGTGATACATTACCAGATAAGTCAGGAATGCATACACAACATTCAACCTCAATTATAGCACAGGTCCCTCCTTGAGCAGCTGTATGTCCAAAGCCATTCTATTTTGAATTACCGCTTTTCTCATCTGGATGTGCTCTTCATTTAAGGCTTGGATGGCTTTTGTTCTATTTAGGAGGGCTTGTTTTGTGAAATTGGTCAAGGCGCTACTTTAATCATAATATCTGTTGTCCCTATAGAGGGTGTGAATAAGGCAACAATATACTCATACCATTGAAACACAGATCTTGTCCACTTAGCATGTAAATAAGGTAGATTTACCTCGGTGGAAGGGCCCTTATACTGTTATTCTAACGACCCCTACTGCAGTTAAAGTTGCAGGTATTGCCCCTTGGATCCATCATACGAGGGTGAAGAGAGCATACCACAGAGACCCAGAGAAAGCTGAGTGAACTGCACAGAGGGACCCCACTGACCCTTGAGAGACTAAGACCATCCTTAAGAAGAACGGAAAGAAGATCCCGGATGAGCCTCTTGAAGATGAAGCCGCATAATCAACTCCTGCTGCTTGGTTTCATCAACGTGCATATTCCTACGCCAACTCCCACAATACCTTCTACTGTTGGGTATGTGGGGCTATGCCTCTGTCTGTGATGGATGGACTTCCTTGGTGGCTGTCACCGCTCTGCCAGGGAGATTTTAAACCACTCTGCTCTTTTCTGGGACACAATCATAATCAATTCTCTCTTTTAATGCTTACAACAATCCTATGAGGTAAGTCCAATGATTATCCTCATTTTACAGATGAGGAATTTGAGGTATGCTGTTAAGTAACTTGCTTGGAGTCAAGTAGCCAGCAAGTAATAGAACCGGTAACACACATGCCTGACACCTTTATAATTGGAATGCTCTTAAAAATCTCTCTTGAGAAAAAAGTATGCATTTGTTTTAGGCTCAAAACCTCACACACAACACTAAAATAACCATTAACCTCACAGTAATGCCTTCCATATCTCAGGAGACGTTTAAAAATTTCACACTTCTACTATTGACTCTCCAGTTGTGATGAGCGGCAGTACAGCTATAGGCAAATACTTGATATCTAAGAGAGGTAACACATTAAATAGAATGATAATGCAAAATATAAAGTTGGTACGGAGCAATTCTCCAAGAGAAGATGGGGAATTAGTTTAATCTTTGAGAAATTTTAAATGAGATTTTGAGAAAGAATAATTTTGGGGGCTAGCAACCATGACCTAACTATTGATATACAAAATGAGCTTTTTGATGCAAGTCTATGATTGCTATAGCATTTTTTCCCCCCGACTGGTTCCTGCAGTCTTTTCTACCTCTTTACAAGCTAATAAAAACAGCTATTCAGAATAAAATTGTGATATGTAAAGACAGATACTACATAGATAAATAATATGTATAGCCTTGTGAATAATGATTTTTAAATTGCTTTATTAGAAAAGCATAATATTTTAAAACTTAAGATTTGTAACAATGGATTTACTTTAGTTAAATGTCTTTTATTTATTTTATTTATTACCTATGACCATACAAAAGACTTACTTAACACAACTGAATGGTCCCTGGCTCTAAAAAGTAACAGTAGTATAGTGGAAAGACTTGCGATGAGGAATAAGGAAACATGAGGTCTAATTATGTTGTTCTGTAGTACAAGCACAATTTATATAGGTCATTTAACTTCTCTGGGCCTTAGTTTTCTCACTGGAAAAGTTCACAGTTAGAGGACACTGTCTCTAAGTTTCCTTATAACCATAAGTTAATATCACAAATACTTCTGATTATGATTTTTTTCTGGGTTCATGTTTTATCAAGTGAATAAGACTGACGTTTGTTTTTCATGCACATGGAGACTTGAAAGATGGATTTTCAAATTATTTACGCTGAAGATTTTTAGACTTCAAATTGAAATATAGGATAATCAATGCAGTGCTGCTGATATTTGAAGGCAATACACAATTCATTTTCTCTGCCTAACTGTGAGAACTGAAGAATTTTTCAGTAGCAGTGAATCAATATTGAGTACCACTGTCAGGACCTGTCATGATTTAAATTTTGCCTGTGCTATAATATTGTAGCTTATACACTTCCTAGGATGGAAACTGTGTGTTAGCTTCAAAAGTGTGGTGCTGAGATTCTGTGTGAAAATTTCATCCCCTTTCTCTGTCTCACAACTGACAGGTATTATTCCTCATACCTTAATACTAAAGAAATTTCTATCATGGCCTGGGTGAATGTAGCCCTGACAGTTATGAGTTTTTAAAAAAAATATCTTTCGGCCGCTGCTGCTGCTACTAAGTCGCTTCAGGCATGGCCGACTCTATGCAACCCCACAGACAGAAGCCCACTAGGCTCCCCTGTCCCTGGGATTCTCCAGGCAAGAACACTGGAGTGGGTTGCCATTTCCTTCTCCAATGCATGAAAGTGAAAGGTGAAAGGGAAGTCGCTCAGTCGTGTCCGACTCTTAGCGACCCCATGGACTGCAGCCCACCAGGCTCCTCCATCCATGGGATTTTCCAGACAAGAGTACTGGAGTGGGCTGCCATTGCTTTCTCCGATCTTTTGGCTAGGTTAGTTCTATTTTATGATCTACTAAGAAATGGGTTAAAGAAAAGGATCCATGTGGAAGAAAGATCAGAGAAAGCTCACACTTTATTTAGAGTTGAGGAATGCTTTTTATTTTATTTTTTATTATTTATTTATTTTGGCTGCACCACACAGCATGTGGGATCTTCTCTGACCCCTAAGGACCAGGGATTGAACCCACTCCTCCTGTGGTGGGAGTGCAGAGTTCTAACCACTGGACCACCAGGGAAGTCTGAGTAATGCTTTTTAGTAATTTATGTTTCTGCACGATGAAAGTGATTTTTGAAAATGATGAATGAAAGAGTAACATCAGGTATTAGTTTGCCTCATGTCACCTTCACTTGGAAGACACATAATGATGAAATGTGTGTGTCTTCATATTGGTCTGTTTAACTTTTTAAATAAGCTTGACAAACACACTGTCAAGAAAATACCTATTTAGCTAGAAATCAAAAGAAAGTTTGAATGATTGAAAACTTAGTACACTTTCAACCTAATGAATTATTATATTGCCCAAAAATGTAAAACACAGAAAGATGAAGCTGAGAAACTTCTAATAAGAGCTATTTATCCCCGAGTCACCTTATAATTATTTTTCTTTTTCTAAAGAGTTTTTACATCAAAATTTCTTGTGATCAATATTACAAGTCACATTAGTTTAACACATCCAGTTATCAGGGGATCATATTAGATGAAATTTATATTCCCTTCTCTGTCAGGTGAACAGAATGATGAAGTGATTGCTACAAGTCATTCAGCCTATCAACAGCAATGCCAAAAATATTGGTGAGGATGTGGAGAAAAGGGAACTCTCATGTACTACTGGTGGAAATGTAAACTGGTGTAGCCATTATGGAAAACAGCATGAAAGTTTCTCAAAACATGAAGACCGGAACTACTATATTCAGCAATTCCACTTCTGAGTATTTATCCAAGGGAAATCAAATTACTGTGTCCAACAGATATCTTCAGCTCCCCACCATATTCACTGCATTATTATTTACAATAGCCAGGACATGGAAACCACCTAAGTGTCCCACTGGCAGATGAAGGATACAGAACATATCACACACACACACACACACACACACACACACACACACACATGGGAATGTTATTCAGACATAATAAAAGAAGGAAATTTTGCCATTTGGAACAACATGGATAAACACTGAGGACATTATGCTACATAAAATGTCAGACAGAGAAAGGCAAATACTATATGATCTCAATTATATGTGGAATCCAAAAAACAGCTGAACTCATAGATATAGAGAGCAGATTGTTGGTTGCCAGAAGCAAGGGGTTGAGGGTGGGCAAAAGGAATGAAGGTGGTCTAAAGGTATAAACTTCTAGTTATGAGATAAACAAGACTTGGGGATGTAAGCATGGAGACTATAGTTAGCAAAACAAAACTGTGCATTTGAAAGTTGCTAAGAGAGTAGATCTTAAAAGTTCTCATCACAAGAAAAAAAAAATTGTAACTGTGTGATGATGAATATTAACTAAACTTATTGTGGTAACATTACAATATATATATATATAAGTCAAATCATTACATCACACACCTAAAACTAATACAATAAGTTAACTATGTCTCAATAAAATAAAATAGTTCTGTGTAAAGTAAAATAGTTCTGTATAAAATAAAATTTAAAATATGAAAATAAGTTCTATTTACAATCATTTGAGGCCATCCAGTAATATCAGTTAAGTGCAGAATTACAGAAAACTGAAGGTATTAGATGGACATAGCCTGCAAATTGAATAAATATCTATAGGTATTTTGAAATATTTGTCTCTGTGTATTGATCACAATAAACTGTAGAAAATTCTTAAAGAGATGGGAATACCAGACCATCTGACCTGCCTCTTGAGAAACCTGTATGCAGGTCAGGAAGCAACAGTTAGAACTGGACATGGAACAACAGACTGGTTCCAAATAGGAAAAGGAGTACGTCAAGGCTGTATATTGTCACCCTGCTTGTTTAACTTATATGCAGAGTATATCATGAGAAACGCTGGGCTGGAAGAAGCACAAGCTGGAATCAAGATTGCCAGGAGAAATATCAATAACCTCAGATATGCAGATGACACCACCCTTATGGCAGAAAGTGAAGAGGAACTAAAGAGCCTCTTGATGAAAGTGAAAGAGGAGAGTGAAAAAGTTGGCTTAAAGCTCAACATTCAGAAAACTAAGATCACGGCATCTGGTCCCATCACTTCATGGCAAATAGATGGGGAAACAGTGGAAACTGGCTGACTTTATTTTTCTGGGCTCTAAAATGACTGCAGATGGTGATTGCAGCCATGAAATTAAAAGATGCTTACTCCTTGGAAGGAAAGTTATGACCAACCTAGATAGCATATTAAAAAGCATTGACATCACTTTGCCAACAAAGGTCCGTCTAATCAAGGCTATGGTTTTTCTAGTGGTCATGCATGGATGTGAGAGTTGGACTATAAAGAAAGCTGAGTGCCGAAGAATTGATGCTTTTGAACTGTGGTGTTGGAGAAGACTCTTGAGAGTCCCTTGGACTGCAAGAATATCCAACCAGTCCATCCTATAGGAGATCAGTCCTGGGTGTTTGTTGGAAGGACTGATGTTGAAGCTGAAACTCCAGTACTTTGGCCACCTCATGCGAAGAGTTGACTCATTGGAAAAGACTCTGATGCTGGGAGGGATTGGGGACAGGAGGAGAAGGGGATGACAGAGGATGAGATGGCTGGATGGCATCACTGACTCGATGGACATGGGTTTGGGTGGACTCCAGGAATTGGTGATAGACAGGGAGGCCTGGCATGTTGCGGTTCATGGGGCCACAGAGTTGGACACGACTGAGTGACTGAACTGAACTGAACTGATAGCTGATACTTTCTCCTACTTCCTTTTTGCCCCATTACTCATTTTGAATACAAAAATATTTTCTTGCACATATATATTTTTTCCTGTTTTGAAAAGACTTCTATTAATCATAATAAGTATACCTGGAGAGGTACCATTACCCTCCAAGGACAGAAGTTTGATGGAAATGTAATCTCTTCCTAGAATTCAGAAGAAACTATATACATTTATGGCCTTCCCTGGTGGCTCTGATGGTAAAGAATCTGCCTGCAATGCAGGAGACCCAAGTTCAATCCCTGGGTCAGGAAGATATCGCCTGGAGAAGGGAACGGCTACCCACTCCAGTATTCTTGCCTGGGGAATCCCATGAAAAGAAGAGCCTGGTGGGCTACAGTCCATGGTGTTGCAAAGAATCAGACACAACTGAGCGACTAAGCACAGCACAGCATATACATTTATGGGTAGAACCTGCTATAGTAAAAGGTATGGTATCATCTTTCCTTCCCTCACAGATATCCTTTCAGAACATATGTCATACATCCTTGTATTCTGGAATTTACTGGCACAAAGAAGCTATTTAATAAATACTGACTGAATATATGATTGAAGAGCCATAACTTAGCCTCTCAACATTAGAGTCTAATTCATGTTGGGGAATTAGAGCAACCTTGACCTGAATCATATGCTGAAATAATTCCTTACATTTAGAGTAAAAACAAACAAAAAACCCTCACCTATTATAAGTGGAGATAATTCTGAAAAATGATACTTTAGGTACTCCAAAAATTGGATAGCATCAGAATATACTATCAAGGCCAAAGTAACCCCAAGGCACAAGAAAATGTGTTAAACATTAATGTATTTAAAGGAAATTTCCAGGAAAACTTGCCTGTTCAAACTCTTCCATGTCTACTTCTCCATCTCCATTCAAGTCAAACATCTTGAAGGCAATTTCAAAATTTCTCTGAGGAGCTGTAAGTTAGGAAGGAAGGAAGGACAGGAGGGAAGGAGGGAGGAAAGAGAAAAATATTTAGAAGGTATTGACCAAAAGTAAAAAATCATTGCTTTTTAAGACAAAAGGATGGTTAAACATTAAAATGTAACTTCAAGTCAAAGAATGCCACCACATTTATCTTGATTAACCTTTTAGCAACAGTTCTTAAAGCCAAGAGAATTTTACCAGGTCAGTAAAGATAGTACTTATCTATCTTTGTGTTTCAACACTCTCTTAAATACTTTCTTAGAAGCCATCTTCTCTTAATTGAGTAACATTAATGTTGTTCTGTTACTTAAATACAGTGTTATTTATCTGGGCATGAAAGTCTATTTGGGGTAAGATATACTGCTGCAAAGAAAGAAGCTGAAACTATCTTTGTCTTGCCTTTTTAAAACAAGCAAGCTTTCTACCTTGTTCTTTCTAGTCTCTCCATTGTAAGTACAATCAGGAGTTCAGTGGCTATCACTCTGCCAACAGGTTATTATCGACATTTTATCGATACCATTCTCCTCAATGTCACTATACCTCTGTGGTAAGGCAGAAAAGCATACTGTCAGCTACCCAGTCCCCTATTTTAATTGTGTCAGCTTGATACATAAATACTGAGTAAAGTATACTTAAATGTTTAAAAATCAAAATGAAAAATGCAAAGCTTGAGAAGATGATATATTTTTTCCCCCTAAGTGAATGGTGAAAGTGTTTCAAGACTTCTTTAATATCCCCAGATCAATCAAAATAAAATTATTATATTTGTACATTAGGATAAAATATAAATTCAACAGCCCTCCTCTCCTTCCTTACCCTGCTAAATATTCTAGTAAAGAAAACTAGGGACTTCCCTGGTAGTCCAGGGGTTAGGACTTGGCACTGTCACTGCAGGCGCCCAGGATCAATCCCCGGTTGGGGAACTAAGATCCCAGAAGCTGTGTGGCATGGCCAAAAAAAAGAAAACCAAGTCACTTACTTCCTTCAGTGCTTCAAATTTATATAGCTGTAGAAAATAAAAGTAAAATTTCCTATATATATCCTAATACTACTGAATTAAATTTTCAGTTAATATCACTTTTAGTTAAAAAATTAAAAATAGGTAGACAAAAAAGTAAACAAGGGCTTAGTATATTATGCATTACTGTACACAGTTCATATTCCTGTCTTGCTCATTAATTTGTCAGTATCAACACTTTCTAAGCTTAAATTCCATTTTCAGCTAGCTAGCCTACTTAGGTAGGTCAGCTCCTGGTTTTTAATTGCCTGGGTGAATTATACTGCCTGTTTCACTTGATAATGGCTTCCAACAGGTTTGCTTTTCTTAGGCCACCAGTATGATTGCTGAGAAGGATGCAGGTGGGGTGGGGTGGAGATTAGATTTTTGTATATTTATTGCCACTTCTTAAATTATTCCCATTTGTCTGGATGCTATCTTCTACTGAAGAGTTACTATGTGCCAAGCACTGAACTGGATAATTTTAAGCTGTTTTCTAATTTTGTACTCTCAATCCTAAAATTATTTCTTTTTTAATTTTTTTTTTAAACAGAGTAGGATGTTGGGGTTCCAAGCCACTAAATGACTCACTCAAAATCACACAACTAATAGGCAACAAACAGAACTGGTTAAGTGACTGAGGTCAACAATAACTTCAAAGTCCATAAACTATTCATTATGTTCCACAGCTTCCAATACGAAAATTGGGGTTCTTACAATAATAAACACATACTCTTCATTCTGGTATGCTCTAACTTAGAAACAAAACAACAAAACATGACTCACTGGTTATGTCAGTCTCTGAAATAGCTTAGAGTTTCAAGTTTCATCTAAAGGACATTCCTGATATCAAAGAAACATTGCATTGCAATTCTCAGTAGTTTAAGTTTAGTTGCAATCATAGGCATAGGCAACATCAGATTCTGTAATGGGTTTGTCATGTTTTTTAAAAATTCTGAATATAAATTCTGTTCTTCCCTATTGTCTCACAAACTTAGCTCACTTCACTCACATACATTATTTACCTAATCCTTGTAGATACTTGAAATTTTAACAACTGCAGATAATGTGAGGCCGCTGAAAGTCTTAAGTAGGGGAGTGCCACAATCACAGAGGCATTTAAAAAGAATTTCTCTGGCTACAGTATGAAGAATGTACTGAAAAACAAAATTCAGTCTCAGAGAACATCATTAAAGCTCCTGAAACTTGAAAATGTGAATTGAGGTGATGGCAGTGGTCATGGAGAGAAAAAAACAAATTTGAAATAACTTAAGGAGGCAGAAAGTATGTAACTTAATGATTAATTAGCTGTGATGAACTGAGAGTAAAAAAGGCTGACAGCATGACTGGCTTATGCTACCTGGTAGCTTACATATCATTAACCAAGAGAAAGACAAAGTAAAAGATTTGAGGAAAAAATGATTTCAGACAATATCTGCTGAATTCAAGGAGTCCACAGCACATTCTGATGAAAATGTTCAGGAGATAGCTGGAAATATGGGTCTAAAGCTTAGAAGCGAGAGCTTAAAGTTAGTAGTCACATTACCATGAATAGATACACACCTACATATGCATGCTCAGTCGTGTCTGACTCTTTGTGATCCTATGGACTGTAACCCACCAGGCTCCTCCATCCATGGGATTATCCTGGCAAGAATACTGGAGCGGGTTGCCATGCCCTCCTCCAGGGGATCTTCCTGATCCAAGGATCGAACACACACCTCCTGCATTGCAGGCAGACTCTATACCATTGAGCCTCCTGGTTAGCTTCAAAGACTTGAAATGAAGACGTCCAAGGAGAACTGAAGATTGAGGAGAAGTGTACAGAAAGGATAGAAAGTAGTTGGAAGCTAATATTTAAGGTGAAAGTAAAAAGAGAGGAAGCAGTGACAAAGTGGTATCACACCACCAAGAGAAATGTGGTTCGAAATGAATAGAAATAGGGGAAGATTTGGCCAGAGGCACTCAAAGGGTTGCTATTCATGAAATACAGCAGCATTCTCATTCCCTGTCTTCACTGATTACAGAGACAATGCAGAGTTTTTAAATTTTTAGGTTTATCATGATCTTCTATTCTTACTGTCTTACAAGTTCTGTGATGGCATACACACAGGCGTTTAAATGACTGAATGAGTTATTCTGGCAACTCATACTTAATATGGTCTCCTACAACTAAGGTTAAATGCACTTTACCAAACAAAGAACATCTTGTACTGCTTGAGGTTTATTTATCTTTTTAATCCTGGCTTACTCTCAAACACAGTATTTGCTTTATGTGGAACAACATTAAGAGTGTTTATTCAAGAATATGCATTGACACTCTCAGGCTGAGCTCTTGTGCCCTGGTCACTGATACAGCATGTCAGGACAGCAGCCATGCACGTTCTGATCTCATTTAGGCCTTAGCAGTCCATCACACAATGTCCTTCTAGTAGTTTTCTCAGGTTATTCAATCTTCATTTGCTGATCATACCAAAGCACTCAAGACAAACAAGTAAAAAACCAGCTTGCCTTAAGTGAAACATACTACAAAGGAATAAGCTGCTAGGCCATTTTCTTCTACTCTCTTGTCTCCCTTTGAAAGCAGACTTCAGAGTAATTTTTAAATCTAGCTGCTCTGGAAAGCTAAAAGTATCTTGAGTTTACATTAGTTCACAACCTATTGCCATAGAAAGGTAGAGAGAGGGGAATTCTTTTGAATTTCAGGCTACTTGTACAGTGAACAGTGAAGCTTCGCCCCACCCATCCTTGTGTTAATGGTTCAATCTATTTTCTGCACAGCAATATCTAAAACAATCATATGTTGGGACTGATTAAAACAGTGAGATTCTATACAAAGTTCATCACTCTACATCTTTAAGCTATAATTCCGTGATAGTTTTTACTACAAGTAAATGTGGATACATTAGATCTTGTTTTAGTGTAGAATAAAACATTTTTATGTTATTCTATCATCGACAATAATGACAATAGCAATAACAACTCTAGATTTATTCAAAGCACAGTAGATTTTTCTACACTGTTTTAGTAATAAGTAAAAAAAACCATGTTTTTCTGTGTATGTAAGTCAAATAATCAGATAGCAACAACATTAGCTGTCTCAAAATTTTCATGACTGTTTCACTTTTTTTTTTAATAGAAAATGCAAAAGACTTGGGCTCTAATTCTGACTTTTCCAATCTAATGAGTTATTATGCCTTAAATTCTTTTTTGGTAGTACTGACTAAATGAACAAAACTGAATAGGTTAGATTCTAAACAAGTTTCTTATTTTCTGTTACTTTGGTTCTCCTACCACAAAATTCCCACCTTACTATTCCTATTGTAAAATGATGCATAGGACAAATAAGGTAATTAATATGCAATATCAGAGAGCTCTGAGTGAGGAGAAAAAACTGTATATAGTATGATGAACCTCCACTCAGTGATGAACCTGCCTACTGAATTTGTAAGGATGATCATATAGCTTCTGATTATTTCCGAGGGAAATAATAATGTCTAACCATTGCTGACCATATTAATTGAACTTTTTTTCTCATGCAGAACGGGCTTCCCAGGTGGTTCAGTGATAAAGAATTCCCCTGTCAAAGCAAGGAGACATAGGAGATATGGGTTTGATCTCTGGGTCAAGATGTCCCTTGGAGGAGGAAATGGCAACCCACTCCAGTATTCTGGCCAGAGAATCCAGTGGACGTATGAGCTTAGCGGGCTACTGTCCACAGAGTTGCTCAGAGGTGGATACAACTGAGCACACACCCACCACCACCTTCTCATGTAGAGCTCAAATCTAATTCTTTGTAGCTCTTACAAATTGTTCTAATTTAATTTTTGAGAGAAATATAAAATATAACTGCTTCTCACCTTTACGATGTCCCTCTGAATACATAAGAACATAGTGTCATGTCTCTACTAAAGGTTTCTCAGAACCTCTTTCCAGAACGTCAAGGTTATTTTGTAATAGCCTTCTCTGGGGTACTTTAGATGACCAATGGCT